CACCGGGAGCGTTTCTCCCTTCATAAAGGAGCTTCTTTCAGACATTAGGAGAGCTGTTTTGGTGGTAGCAGTCTCTCCTCCGAGCTGGTCTGTTTGCTGCTGGGTGTTTTTGGTTTATTTAAACTTGGCAACTTAACGTTGGTAAAGCTACTGTTAGCATTTTCGCTAACAGCTTCTTGCGTTTGGATAAGCTGTTACGTTTTGGTTTAGAGTTCATCTTTTTACAATCCAATCCAATTTTATTTATAAAGCGCATTCACAAGGCATTACAACCAAACAAGGCGCTGTACACTAGAAATGTTGGTTAATTAAACAAGCGATATTTAAACATGTTGAACACATATAAAAAATAATAATTTGTGGTACAAATTAATAAATGTCTAAATGTAATAAAATCTCCCTTTTGTTACATTTAGAGTGTTGTGGGTTTTCGGTTTAGTTTAAAATATCACCTTGAGGTTGGTTTAACCGCCCAGTTTAGAGTTTGGACCTTTGGAGATCCTTATTTTGGTCCAAAACCCAGTAATCTTTGCCCAGTGGGACATCCCTAGTTATCTGTACTTTTGTTTTAATTCCCCACAGGCAGAATTAGTTTTATTACTCCCAACCTGTGGATGGAAAGATTTGGTTTTTTGTAGTTGTAAATAAACCCGATCATCATTTTAACTTTTAAATCCCATATTATTGTCCCTTCCTTTTTGCACACGAGCCAAACTCCCCAGGAAGAGTCGTAACACCACTCGCCTCACGCACATAAGTGACCAAGACGAAGCAGCATGGAGACACTCCGTCTCCAACCACCTCTCAGGCAGCAGCCTGCACTCCCAAGTTCTACACGTCACCAGAACATAACCAACCAACACAATAAAAGCAGTGTTATACAAAATGGGAGGCCTGTAGTGTTTATTCTCTTACAGTAACAATTAATCAATTTTTTGGAGGAATTTATTAGAGATTTTTTGGTTTTTATTAACTGTGCAATAGAAAAATAATCATTAGATTAATTGTATAAATAGTCATTAGAATAGTCGACTATTCGATAAAATAATCGTCAGAATAATCATTTTAAAAATAATCGTTTACCCCCAGCCCTACTTGAAATGAACCCTGAAGTTGACTGGCAGCCAGTGAAGCTGCAGGAGAAGCGGGGTGTGATGGCCACATCCATGTCCACACAACGGTGAACGTTAGTACACTCTTGCACTTTTATGATTGCAGTTTGTATGTTTATATTTCTTTGGATTTATTGTTTAGACGGCTAAAATGCATTAGTTCTAATTGTAAGCGCGCACATTTAGTTAACTGCTGTATTTTATGCCTTTCATTTGTTCAATTTAAGTTGATTTGTTTTCTCCTACCGGTGCTGAGAGGTTCTCCACTTCCTGCTTCCTGAGATGGGACAGGCAAACAGTGGTGAAGGGGTTCTGTCAGCTAAATACAGGAGGAGCTGATGGGACCAAACCAATAGCTCCCTGAAGAGGGGACTGAAGGATTTCCTTTAGTTTATTATTTTGTCATTTGTTAATTAATTTAAGTTTGAAGTTAAATAGTTAGGTTTATGGGTTAGGACGTTTAGGTTTATTAACAATCTGACTGTACTGATTTGTGGTTTTGGTTTTAGTTAGTAAATGTTTGTCTAGTAATCCCTATTGTTCATATGGTCTGATCAGCCAGTGTGTATATATACCCTTGTGTGTCTTTGTTTGTTAGGTCGGTTATGGTTTCAGTCAGTCAGTATGTTAAGTTAGAAGTTTGAGTTTCAGTTTGTTTGTTTGTTTGTTTGTTTGACCTCTTTTATGAGCTCGAGCTGTTTTTGTGAGGACATTTTAAAACAAAAAGGAAATTAAAGAGTCTATTTTTGGAAATTGCCTGTGTTCCTCCACTCATTTGGCTTGATCCCTCACATGATGTGGGTGTGTTTGGAGGACTTGGTCAGAAGCCGAGCACAGGCGTTCTGAACCACCTGTAGACGGTTCAGGGAGGCTCTGCTCAGACACGTGAAAAGAGAGTTACAGTAGTCTAAGCGTGAGGAGATGAAGGTGTGGAGAACTGTCTCAAGTTCAGAGCGGGACAGAACGGGACTCAGCTTAGCAACGTTCCTGAGATGGAAGAAGGAAGAGCGAACAAGAGAACTGACATGAGAATCCAGGGTGAGAGTTGGGTCAAAGGTCACGCCAAGATTCCTGACCGAAGGGAAAACTATTGATCTGCACAAAAAGCCTGCTGGAGACTGAATCCCACCGTTTTAGCAGCTGGGGCTACGTTAGCTCTACTACGTCCGAACGTTGTTAAAAGGCATGAAATAAAATGTTTTAGGCCAATTTCGTTAAGGTAGGAAGGTAGCACTCGATTAGGAGAAGATTTAGGAAGCACGTGGGAGAAATCTCATCAGGTTACCTTTGAAAAACCAACAGCTGGAATTTCTAAGCCAGACTAGAGGAAAACATTCCTCATTTCCAATAATTCCTCAATCTGAGCACATCTGCATGTCCTGACTGATGTTCTTTCTCCTCTTCAGACCAATCCCGTGTTTCTGTGGAAAACTACATATTTTTTACATATCTGCGTTTTTTAATTCTTTGTATATTCTTTCATCCTTAATTCTTGTTGAGAATATACTTTGCTGCAGTGACACCAAACATGGTTGAAGATTCAACTAAAGCAAACGGGTTTTTGTGACAGACTTGTGTCAACAGTTGTAGTTGGTCATTTTAAAACGTGTTTATTTCTATTTAGTTTCTCCATCCATCCATTTTCTTCCGCTTATCCGGAGTCGGGTCGCGGGGGCAGCAGCCTAAGCCCTCTCCCCAGCTTGGGCCAGCCATTCTGGGGGAATCCCAAAGCATTCCCTGACCAGCCGAGAGACGTAGTCCCTCCAGCGTGTCCTGGGTCTTTCCTTGGGTCTCCTCCCAGTTGGACGTGCCTGGAAAACCTCCCCAGGGAGGCGTCCAGGAGGCATCCTGACCAGACGCCCGAGCCACCTCAACTGGCCCCTCTCGACGCGGTGGAGCAGCGGGTCTACTCTGAGCCCCTCCCGGATGACCGAGCTTCTCACCCATCTTGGATGGGTTTCCTTTACCCCCAGTGCATTGCTTTCTACTGAGGAAGGTGTTTACTCAACCAATAAAACACATCTTATCGTGCTTTTTCACAACATCAGATACAGTATGTGGTATGGCATGATAGTTAAAATATAAATATAATTACATAAAATAAGTTAAATAAATTAGAATATAAAATCCCAACAGGTATCAGTAATCCCACGTTATCTGTTTTCAACAGTGCGCGGGTTGTGGCAACCGGAGGCTGCACATAAAACAGGCATAGTTGCTCACTCTGTGTTGACTCCTGTTGGGTTTGGAGAGTGAGACCCACCCAATATGGCGGCATTGCTGTCATGCTCTCCAGCGCCCAATGAGGCGTCTACGTATTCTTCTCTATGGGCTAAGTTCTCTGTGACCTGTTGACATTTCACAGGTTCAGCTTTTGGCTTTAGGAGGCATTTTTATCTATTATTTATTCATTTTAATTCCTTAAAGAGCAAGTCACTCCACATTAACATTTTTTTGCGAAAAAACTACATAAATGAGTGTCTGATTGTGATGTAGACACGTGTAGACATTGATTTTAGTTCATCTTGGTTAAAATTTAAATGTTCTGCCTAAAACTGTCAGCGATGCACCGTCGTCAGGTTAAAACTCAGCACTGTATTTGAATTTAAATCTGCCATCACCATTGGCTAAGAGGTACACTATGATGTTAGATGGTACATTATGATGTCACAATGTCGTGAGTGTGTGTATTTGTTAGCGGCTCCACCCTCTCGGTCTGCTAGGCAACAGCATTTGTTGCATTTTTCAAACAGGAAGTGGGAGTTGAGTAAGAATCTAGTCGGGGGGGGGGGGGGGGGGGGACACCTCCAAATCAACTTATTTTTTCTGATAAACTATATAAATGTTTCAGTGGCGTGTCTAGATATTTTAAAATGGGGTGGCCCAGGTGAGGCACAGCTTTGTGCATGGGTGGCACCAATGGTTATGCCTTTCTTGTTTTACCCCCAAGCCTTTTGTGGACAATGAAAAGACTATTTAAAGGTAAATTAGTGTGTTAGCACCTGGGGTGGCCAATCAGATTCCAAGGGTGGCATGTGCTACCCCAGGCCACTCCCTGGACACGCCCCTGAAATGTGTGTCTAATCGTGCTGCAGACACGTGTAGTCAGTAGTTTTGCACTTTGGTGCATTTTAGTTAAACTTGTAATTTTCTGCCTAAAACTGTCAGTGTTGCGCCGTTGTCGGGTAAAAACTCTGCACTGCATTAGAATTTAAATCTGCCATTGCTATTGGCTAAGAGGTACCCTAGAACATTAGCTGGTACCATATGATGTCACAATGTCGTTGTGAGCCTGTGTGTGTGTGTATTTGTTAGTGGCTCCGCCCTCTCGGTCTGCTAGGCAACAGCATTAGTTGCATTTTTCTAACAGGAAGTGGGAGTTGAGTAAGAATCTGGTCGGGGGTGACTTGCTCTTTAACTATTAACTGGACAAAGAAGCTCAAGTCAGATAGATGAAAGCTTCTGAGAAAGCTGCAGTCTGCTGATCAGATTAAAATCTTACAAAAGAAGCCTTTTCTCTCCAGCTATAAAGAAATGAAGGATTCTTCTGGACTTTTATTCTCCTCCAAGCCTTAAAAGGATCCTGAGAATATTGCTTTTCCCAAATATCACGAGAGCTTCCAATGCTGCGGCACCAAAAAGTAAAAGTATGAAATTCCTCTGCCTGTGATTTAATCTCTGATGCCTCTAGCTGACCGACTCCAGGATTTATCGGCATGTCGGGTATGAGATGTGAACCTGCCAGCTCTCCCAGTGCTTCAGAAGCTTTTTCCTAAATCTTCATCTAAACTAAAACAACTGCACGTGTTCAAGAAATCCGTTTTTCACCAAAAAGCTTCATGAAGAGATTTGCTCATAAAAAGCTAAATGAATCCAACAAACATCGAATTTAGTCAAAGGTCATATTTATTGGGTCATAAACTCTCCTCTTTGGTGAACTCTTCACTTCTTGCCCTTCTTGCCTTCGTTGGCCAAACTGTAATGTTTCTCACAAGCGATCGTGAGGCCGGCGACGAAGGGCACGAACTCCTCAAAGTCCAACTCGTCATCCTTATTCTCATCCAGGTCCTTCAGGATGGTATCCAGCGTGTCCGGGTTCTTCTGGCTCTGGATCAGAGTCGGCACACGACATGAAGTCAGAACAAGGGCGGAGATAAAACATGCAGCAGCAGGTCCGGCTTCAGGACACGGGTGGGTGGGTGGGGGTCGGTCCTTACCTTCAGGAAGGTGGGCAGCTCGCCCTCGATCAGCTTTTTCAGCTCCTTCTTGCTCAGCGTGTTCTTGTTGCCGCCCTCTTTGGCGTAGCGGTGGAACACGGTGATCAGGGACTCCATGGCTTTCTCCAGGTCAGTCATGGCTGCAGGAGTTTCGTCTGAAAGGAGGAAAGAAAAAAAAGAGGAATGGAAACTTTCTGCGTTCTCATTTCTTCTGTTGATTTCACAGCTGAACTCCTGCAGCACACTTAGAAACTCAAAAATCTTACTTTTCTTATTTATTTACACCAGATGAAGTGACTGAAAGGTGAGGAGGGTGTCTTTCACACCAGCTCAGGCTTTAGTGAGGAGGTGGGCGTTGGTCTTACTGGCACACAAAGCAAATTCTTTAGGACTCACATCATCTTCTGGCTCAGAAACTTCCATCATTACCCCATTTCTCCTCTTTCTCTAGACTTCACCGATTTAGTCTGAGCAAAATGTGGCATTTAAAGCCTCGTGTGTGTGTGTGAGAGAGAGAGAGAGAGAGAGAGAGAGAGAGAGAGAGAGAGAGAGAGAGAGAGAGAGAGAGAGAACTTCTCTGGATAACACTGAACTACCCGGAGGGACGACACAAGACTCGGTCCTACATAACTCCCCTCAAGCTGCAACAAACACAAAGGAGAACGGATTCTGGAGCGTAAAAGTTGCTGGGATTCTTACCAGATCGGGATGTTGGAGGAGCTCTGAAGTGCAGAGACGAGTGCGGTGGCTGGCTGAACGTTTATTTTAGTGGTTTGGAAACGCCCAACACGATGTGGAGAAAGAGGGAAGGAGAGGGAAAAAAGGAAAACTCCTCCTCGTGCTTTCCCGTTGAACACCGAGTCTGGGTCCCGAGTGCACACGAGGAAGGAGGCACACCTTCCTGTCCCGAGTCTCACGCTGTTTCAGAGTCAGACGCTCAGCTCTGTGCTGAAGTCATTTTTATTGTTAAATCTTCCAAACAGCCAGACTTTTGGTCATGAGTCTAGTACATGTTCATTTCCAGATGTGTTTGTTAGGACATCCAACTCTGACCTTTGACCCCTTCAGGCAGAAGACCCTAAAGAGAGGAACCCGCGACATCGGCACATTCTCGTTTATTTGCTGCTTTGATTAAAAAACACACAGAAGATAACCGCTTGACTCAGTTATGGAGCTTCTCTGCTTGTTTCAGGTCTTTGCAGGATCTGTTTCTCCTAAAAATGTGACTGTAAGACCTTATTCATCAGCTAAAGGCGTATTTTAGCCCTGGCATGTTTGCTTTTCAGCACTTTACGCCGTCACCATCAAGGACTGAATGGAAAACAGGCAAAAAGGCAGCAGAGGTCTTCAAAAAGACTCGTATTACTATAAACGGACGATTTAAAACCATAACAAACTAAAGCTTTTTGTCCACGTGTGGTTCTTAAAGAGCAAGTCACCCCCAAATCAACTGTTTTAAAGAGCATTTAACCATATTCTGCTTTTTTTCCAACATGTTTATCTTCTGAACTGGGTGACTTGCCCCTACCCCCTACCAGAGTGTTACTCCACTCCCACTTCCTGTTTGAAAAATGCAACAAATGCTGTTGCCTGGCAGACCAAGAGGGCGGAGCCCTTAACAAATACACACACACATACGCTCACAACAACATTGTGACATCATATGGTACCAGCTAACGTTCTAGGGTACCTCTTAGCCAATAGCGATGGCAGATTTAATTTCAAATGCAGTGCAGAGTTTTTACCCGACAACGGCACATCACTGACAGTTTTAGGCGGAAATTTTTAATTTTAACTAAAATGCACTAAAGTGCAAAACTATTGACACGTGTCTGCAGCACGATTAGACACGCATTTATATAGTTTATCAACAAGTTGATTTGGGGGTGACTTGCTCTTTAAAGTTTCTCGTTTCCCCTTTAACCACCTCTTTCATCACATTTACCCATCACTCAGTGTTTTTACTCAGATTCACACAAACAGTTACACACAGACCTTTAAAACAACAAAAGTCTCATTTTAAAACATTCCTCAACGTTCCCAGGAGGCTGCATCCTGCTCCTTCAGAGGTTCGGGTTTTGTTTAAGGCATTCAACGTTTTAGGAACAGGCTACTCCTCAAGAAACCAAAGTCATTTAGGCCGAATTTCTCTTAAATCCTTACAAATAAAACCTAACCTGGGTAACACTTTTGGTACAACGCCTGCAGAAAAGATCACTTCAACACGAAACAAGCCTTCATCAGTCATGCCGGGACTAAGATTTTACTAAAACATCCAGGTTTTGTGGAGGAAAGAGAACACAAAGTCTTTTCTAAAGTTTAATTACAAAATGAACAAAAACAAAGCAACCTTTACCCGACACTGTTGGACGTATAATATACCAGGATGTACGAATCTCTCTACAGCCATCTGAGCTGAGGAAAAGGACTGATGGGACTGTAAAGGATTATGTCTAGATTGATTTAAGGCCGCACAAGAAGCCGAGGGCACATTTCGAAATCAATGTAGAGGGAAAAATGTGTCATTTTGTGGTAGCCAACCACTTTAAATGTGGTTCACCAATTTAACTTTGCCAAAACAGAGTTTCAGCAACACCTGGATCTTATCGATTTATTGAAAGAAAAGTGAGACTGGATATGATCAGTTCTTCCTTTTGATCTTGCTGGCAGCTTTGGCCGGAGGAGCTGCAGGGACGGCTGCTTGGTAGAGGGCGGCGGATATTTTGTTGATGTAAAACAGAGCGAAGAGGGAGAAAATCAGGCTGGGTGAAGAAAAGAGGCAAAATGTTAGGAAACAGCTTAAATATGCAGCGTTTTAGTTGTGAAAGGGGGGGGGGGGGGGGGGGGGGGTCACTCACCAGGTGGTGACACACACGCGATGCACCAGGCCAGATGCAAACAGCGACAGGCACAGACAAACCAGAACTGCAGAAATAGGAGAACGCAGCCAGAATATCAGAAAATGTTCTACCTGTCATGGTTAGAAATGACTAACTGCAGAACAAGGATCGTGTGACATTAAAGCTTAAACAGTTCTGAAGATAAACATGTTAGATAAAAGCAGAATATGGTTTATTTCGCCACACTGCCATCACTTACCCTCTGGGAAGACCTTGGCTTGGAATCCTTTTCCAAATACCAGGTTTTCTAGATTATTGAAAGCCTGACAAACGCAGTTAAGGTGCAGCAACCACAATGAAATCTGTGCATTTAAAAACACACACGAGAGTGTTGGTTTGTTGTAAAACAGAACTCGATCTGAGCTCCACCGACAGTCATCCATTTCCACCAAAGCCGGTACGATTAATAACCACCACGGTTTGATCTGAAGGATACGGTGAGGGAGCAGATGAAGAGGACTGAGCCCAGGAAACCTCCCAGGATGGTGAGCCACTCAGTGGATCCCAGCTGTTTACTGAACATCTGCATTCCAGCAAAAACCAGCACTGACAGCAGGCTGGAGAGGACTAGAGAGGTTCCTGTGTTCACCGCTGGAAAAAAGACACAGAGAAAAACAACATCAGTCGTGAAATGTTCGTAAAACGATGCATTTTAAGTTATAATCATGGCTTTTACAAGATAAACTTCTAAATGTGAATTAAACTCCGCTACGGCTGGGCCTCTCATTGTTATTTAGGGGAAGTATTTTATTAGCATTTTCCTCTTTGCTTAAAAAAGTCATTTAAAATATAATTTCTGCTCGCTCTTTACGCCACGTCAGTGTTCGCACGTAAATGTTTCCCACCTACCTGCTAGCTTCGCAACGAACAACACATTTTTAGTCAATACACACAATTTTATTAAAGCACAAAATAAATCCAACAACAAATAGTTTAATAATTTTAAGCTACGTGACATTAACTACAGCTAGCTGGGTTCCTAGTCACCATTTCAGTTTATTTAATTCGTTTAAATGTTAGCTAGCTGTTAGCAGCTCAAAATGTTCCGTTTAAAGGAACCCCGCTCGTAGAAAAACATTCAATAAAACACATACCCATAACCCGATGTTTAATCTTTTTTCTTGCAGATAAAACCAAAATGAGAAGTTAATCAGAGCGAGAAATTCCACCGGTGCTAGGAACAAAAAGGTCTCACTCACCCGGAAGGGTTATTAGGAGGCACCGATGGGCGGAGTCATGTCATTCTGTACCAATCCCCGTAATCACACCTGTTTCTGTTTGTTTAAATAGTTTAGTTTTAGTCCGCTTTCAGCAAAAATGTAGATAAAGACAGAAAATGCGAAACTGTTCTAGATTTAAAACTGCTGAGGTGAAGTGGCTCCAGAGCCTCAGAGACAAAAACTGGGAAACAACAGTCAGAACCACCAGAGGACACAAAACATTATCCATGCTTTGATCTATTTACTTTTGTTTGTTGTATTAAAAAAAAGATACTAATACAAATTCTGCAAAGTTGAATCATGTTTTCTGGGAATTTTTATCACCTCTATCCTTCCGGGAAAAGTCTCACCTGTTGGGTTCTTCTGCAAAAGGAACTGCGCTGCTCTGGGTGGCTACATGTTGACTACATGTAAGTTTTGCCTTTTCTTGGGCATTTTTTCTTCTAGTTTCTCAAGAAAAACAGTATTTTTTTGGATACTTTACTGTTTCTGGTGCTGTGACGCGTTTTACTGCTATTTTTTAAAGTTTTTTTCACTTTTTGAACATTTGTTATGATGCGTAACCATGGCAACAAGCTGGTTTACAATCGGGAGCAGCTGATTAATATTGGACAGGCTGAAATAATACCTCAACTGAAGTCACAAATCCCACATGAGCTAAAACGCAAGAAGCGTGGGTGCAGAGCGGGAGCAAAACGGAGACAGAGAAAGAGGAAATTCAAACCATCTCTTCCATCGATCATAATGGGCAATGTGAGATCACTGGCCAACAAGATGGAGGAACTCCAAGCCCTTTCAAGGACTCAGCCAGAGTTTCGGTAGTTTCGGAACCGCTGGAGGAGATAATACAAAGAAGGATTCTCCAGAGAATCAAGAAAATGATGGACAACCCTGAGCATTCTCTTCACAAGACTGCCCGACAACGGAAGAGAGTCTTCAGTCAGAGGCTTCTTCAGTTTGGCTGCAACACTGACTGCTACTGGAGATCCTTCCTGCCAACAGCCATTGTAATATACAATAACTCTTTGATGACTTAATTATTATTATTATTCTGAGCTACTACAGCAATCAATTTCCCTCCGGGATTAATAAAGTATTTTTGAATTTGAATTGAAAAGACTGCTGTTGGACAGATTTAAAGCCTCGCCAGTTCAGGAAGACATCTTTGATTTTTATTAGCTTTTGCACTAAAAACATGTATTAACATGGTTGTTTTATGTTTGAGCAGTTTATTCACTCATCGTGAAATCAAAATACATGAATGGTTTTCCTGTTTAAAACAAAATGTGTACCGTTTGTAAAATAAGTGGATTGTGTGAATCTTAGTGTGTGCGTGATAAATGTAGTTAGCTGTCTATTGGTCTTGAACTAAAAATAATAGTTTAATATCTGACTTATTTAGAAATTACAAACGTCAGCAAAGTAATTCAAACTGTTATGCACATTATGCTGTTTGGTTTTGTTAAAGAGCAAGTCACCCCCTACTAGAGTATTACTCCGCTCCTACTTCCTGTTTGAAAAATGCAACAAATGCTGTTGCCTAGCAAACAGAGAGGGCGGAGCCGCTAACAAACACACACACATACAGGCTCACAACATTGTGACATCATATGGTACCAGCTAACGTTCTAGGGTACCTCTTAGCCAATAGCGATGGCAGATTTAAATCCACTGCAGATTTTTTACCTGACAACGGCACAACACTGACAGTTTTAGGCAGAATTTTTTTATTTTAACTAAAATGCACTAAAGTGCAAAACTACGCACTACACGTGTCTGCAGCACGATTAGACACGCATTTATATAGTTTATCAGAAAAAAAAGTTGATTTGGGGGTGACTTGCTCTTTAAAGTCAATTAAACTTTCTTTAAACACTTTGTGGCTAGCAAACATTGTAAGGCAGTGGAAAAGAAGAAAAATGCATTTTCAGATAATTTATGGGTTTATTTAAATATAAAACAAATATTTACAGAAAAATAAATGGCAGAAGGATTCTGCAGCGCATTCAAGCAGTTTCTCAACATGACTATCAGCTTCTGTCAGATCAATACAATACTAAAACTCTAAATCTGTTCCTATAATCATGTCCAGACTAAATCTGAGTGCTTTTACGTGGAAAACTCTTTCATAGAGGCTTCTTCTTCAGTCCAAAAACCGCAATGAACAGAAGAATTTCCACACAGGCTGGTAGGACACTAGAGAGAGAGAGGGAGGGAAACATGAGGAAAACACAACCATTACACACACGTGCTTCCTCTAAATGTAGACTATCTGAGAAATAACACATTTATTTGCAACAACACACAGGCACACCGACCTGCAGGTTGCAAAAATCACCCAGTAAGTCCAGCATTCCCACTTCTCAAACACAAAGAAAGACAAGGACACAGATGCACTGCAGTGGACAGCCAATGCTGGAGACAACTGTCTGTTAGGGAAACAAACTCTTTATGAAAACAATAAAAGTTATAAACTAACCTGCAAACGGCAAGAATCCACCAGTAGCTGTCACACTGCCACTGCTCAAAGAGAAAGAAAAGCAGAGCCACTGCGGCACTGGCGTGGACTCCTGTTGCTATAACGTTACATCCAACAAGTCATGGAACTGTAACTGATGACTTTTTGACATTTAAAGAGCAAGTCACCCCCAAATCAACATTTTTTTCCTGATAAACTAAATAAATGTGTGTCTAATCGTGCTGCAGACACGTGTAGTCAATAGTTTTGCACTTTAGTGCATTTTTGTTAAAATTTAAATTTTCTGCCTAAAACCGTCAGTGTCGTGCCGTTGTCAGGTAAAAACTCTGCACTGCATTTGAATTTAAATCTGCCATCGCTATTGGCTAAGAGGTACCCTAGAACGTTAGCTGGTACCATATGATGTCACAGTGTCGTTGTGAGCCTGTGTGTGTGTGTGTATTTCTTAGCAAAACTATTGACACTCATTTATATAGTTTATCAGCAAAAAAAAGTTAATTTGGGAGTGACTAGCTTTTTAATAACAAATTCACTCATCCTTACTCTTTAACCTATAACAAACCTTTATTTTATAGTAATTTGGGTTTTATTCAGCTATTCCGTTTGTCTTTTAGAGAGAACCGACCAAGTGGGAGAGAGCTAAGCTAGTTATCCACTAGCTGCTGCTGCTGCGTGTTCTTTGTGTTACAGCCTTAACCAGAAGTCGCTTTACTGTTGAATATTAAAGGTCATATATGTATATATATATATATATATATATATATATATATATATATATATATATATATATATATATATATATATATATATATATATATGTATATATATATATACATATATATATATATATATTTCATTAAGGATGAGTAAAGGATACACAGGAGACCCTGAGTGCTGTTGAACATAGACACTCCTGAAAAGAAGCCAGCCAGCTCGATTACAAAAAGACCAAGTGTGACTGCCAGCGCCACCACCAGCCTGGAGGGAACAAAAGAGATCATTTAATCCGAGAACCTGATAATACGAGTGTGTTACATACATATCTACTCACTTTTTGTCTTCGGTATCATACTGCTCTGGTGTGAAATCCAGTGGTAAACATGCTTTTACATTATTTTCCTATAAAAAGAAAAACAATTGCAAATTATTTCAAGGGCTGAATAATCTGGATGTGATGTTGACCGTAGAGCAGTGGTGTCCATCCCTGCACCTCGAGGGCCCCTATCCAGCATGTTTCAGTGGTTTCTCTGCTCTGCTGTTTTTAACCAAGAGGTGATTAGGGTTGTCACGGTAACCGGTGTAGCGGTAAACCCCGGTAAAAAAGTTGACAATAATAATAACCGTCTTGTTTTTTTAAAAACTATATTATCTCGGTGGATTACCGTGGCTGCGGTGTAGGCGCGGTGACCCTTACCAGCCACCGTATCATCTGCTGAAGTTGCCGGCGGCACATGCGCACTTTGTTGTTTACAACCAAAACTTTCTTTAAGCTAAAACTGAAATAATGGCCAAAGGAGGAGACGGCAACGCTCAGGACATTTATTATCGCTCTAAGAAGACAAAGTCAGAAGTACGGGCATTTTTTTATACCTGAAGAATGCCGAGGGACAGCTGATAGAAGACGGCTATCCTGTTTGCAGCACGTGCAGAAAAAGTGTCTGTGAAAGGCAGCAACGCTTCAAATCTCATGACACATCTGCGTGACCATCACCCACAACTCTACAGTCAACGCAAGGCAAGCTAACGTTAGCGCTTTAGCTAAAATGCGTGATCCGAGGATTTGGGTTGAGGGAGAACGCAACGAGTCGCTATATAAAGCAGCCGCAGCGCCGCTACCTGCATATAAACCGTGTCGCGGACACCGCCATGTTGAAATGACGCTATGCATTACGGGGCTCCCAGGGGCAGATAAGAGTTGGTCTCTCTCCGAGAATAATTATGAATTTAACAACGATTACTGCCTGATGACATTTTCCCACATCTGCAAAGCTCACTGGAAGGACACAAACCGAGGACGATATTTTCCTGATATAGGGTTTATTACTCAAGTAAGGGTAAAAAAGTATCTGATTAGAAGGCTACTTGAGTACTGAGTATCATCTGGTCTAATATTTTTAAAATGATGACATCAAACAGACATAAAATAAGAAAAGTTATGGGCAAATATTGGTATTTTAAAGACTTAAGGGGAAATATGTAAACAAATAAACAACATAATTACAAAATAACACATTTTAGGCAAAATTTAGACACAAACTGAGGACAATATTTTCCTGATATACAGGGTTTATTTAGTTTCCTGAAAATGTAACACGTTTAAAACAATACCGCGATAATACCGAAAACCGTGATAATTTTGGTCACAATAACCGTGAGGTTAAATTTTCACACCGTGACAACCCTAGAGGTGATTAACAGCTTCTGCAGACCTAATCATGCTAAACAGGTGATTCAACCATTGAATCAGGTGTGTTTGGGCAGGGAAACAACCAGAACATGCTGGTTAGGGGTCAATGAGGACACTTCCTGGAACTTAAATGACGTTTTATAACACAACAAGGAATATGTTTTAATTACCTTTGATGTTTAAGCAGAATTTCTAACAATGTGTTTGTGTGTTCACCTTTGTGGTATTTCATATAACAGCAACGTCTAATAAAACCACAGATCTAAAATCCCATAAAGTTTTCTCCATTATGAAAATAAAATCAGGCACAAGAAATCAGATTAAAGATAAACCATTTTTTCTTACCCTTGACCAAAAGATGGTGATAACAATGACAAGATGAGCTGTGATGGTGAGAAACCGAGCAGGAACAAGGCTGCTGATGGCCGACATGGTGATCCTAATCAGCAAAGTAAAACTCTAAAAGCTCGTGAGTAAAAAAAAGAGTAAAAGGTTTTCGTTTACTGCGACGGAAACCACTCAGTAAGCTAGGCTAGCATGTAGCTAAATGTGCTAACTTTAAACGAACACTTTAGCATCTGTTTATCTTGCGGCTAATGACATAAACCAGCTGATTCATTTGTTTGTTTAAAAACTCGCGAAGTCTATAGCTTAGTTTTGTGTCTCGTTCGTTAACAGAGCCAAAAACTTCACGTTGTGACGCAACTAACGGTTGCTACAACAACCACGGACAATGTGCATACGGTTTTAATGACCGGACAAAAAAACGAACACCTAAACGGTTCCGCGTTGACCATGAACGCGTCACGTAAAAGAGTTTTTAATCAGCAGTAAATAATATAAAACAGAGAAACCCAAACATCTTATTTAGTAACGGTGGGTAGTCAGCGCGTTTCATTTTTCCTGGTCAGAGTTAGTAAAAGAGGTGTAGCTTGACGTGTAGCTGGATATTTATTTATTTATTTATTATTTATTTGTTTATTTATTTGCTTTTTTTATTCATCAATACTGCGATCTGATGGTAACACCTGATGTCTTTTCATTTTTATCATAAAAATGCTTAAAACTACCCGAAAATTCAGGTTCCCCGAAAAAAAAACAAGACAAAATGAAAGAAATAGAAAGGGCCACCAGATCCGTTCGCTGTTGGATAAAACGGTTTTATTTTTAAAAAGACAAACAACAACCGCATGTTTAATTGGAATTGGCAGGATAAACGTGCCTGTAAAACAAAACAGCGCAATAAGAAACGAATGTGTTTCTGTTAGATGGTCTGAGCCAGAGATTTCCCACCCCCATCCCACCAGTGGACTCTTCCCCCGAGGCAGACTGGACCGATCCAGCGTGCGTGAGCAGCGGAGCGGCACCAGCCAAGGCCCGGGCTTTGCCTCGCGGCCAGGAGAAGAAGACAACCAGCCGGGGTTTTCTCCAGGAGATCCTTTTGAGTCGCTTAAATCGAGAAAGCATCATGGCCGAGTCGGAGTTCCAAACCTTTACTTCTATCATGGACGCGCTGGTTCGCATCAACGTGAGTATGACGCTGGCTTTATTAGTCACTTCAGCCATTTGTGCAGTTTCAGTCTGGATGTTTTAGCGGATTTCCCCCCATGTTTCAGATATGAAGCCATCTGCATACAGATGTGTCCAGCTGTGATGATGGAGCGTGCTAATTCCGTTTGGAGACATGATATCAGCGTCACAGTAAAGCTCTGGCACTGTGTAAATAACAACAAAACAACATTTAAAACGTGGAAGCTGAAGTTGATGCGTTTGATTTTTTTTACTGTTGGACTAATTTAAATATGTTAGAAAATAGCACGAGAGGCACACGAAAAGACAGAGATGATGCTGGTTGTCATAGAAACGGGATGCTGCGCCCTCTAGCTGCAGTGATGGAAAAGAGCCACCACGTCCACGGAAACTGATTTTCATCATGCTTTTTTTCGTGAATTTAACATTTTTATTGTTTGTTAAACATTTGAGAGAAAATGTGAGCTAACTTCGTTACATATTTTCTTTCTGGTTATTCTAACTTTACACAGTTACTCTGTTCACTTGACAAGGCCGAACATAAGAGGCATCAGATAAACACCTCATGCATTTGTTTCTGACTCAGGTCTTTTTGTCTGTTCTCTCTTTCGACCTCTCCCACCTCCACACTGCCTCTCCTCCAGTCCAACATGAAGAGTATGGAGCAGGAGCTGCATTGCCCGGTGTGTGACGAGACGGTGAAGCAGCCTATCCTTCTCCCGTGCCAGCACAGCGTGTGCCTGCTTTGTGCAGCTGAGATGCTGGTCCAGAGAGGTTATCCTCCTCCAGATCTCCCCCCGGACCCCAACTCACCTGCCTCCACCCCAAACACTCGCTCTCCAAGACAGGCACGTCGGCCTGCGCCCAGGACGCCCGACCGTCTGGAGCGGTCCCTCAAAACAGGTGGAAGGAAAGATTTGGAATAATTTACTCATGTTGGGTGGGGATGACGTAAATGACCTCAGTATCCTTGTGCCTCAGCAGTAGAAATCCACAGATGATGATGATGTGATGCAACATATCAGCTCATGACTTATTTAAGAGCATGCAAAGCAAACGTTGAGTGAATCAGACAAGCTTTAGACAGCACACATCTGTCGTACTCTTTTGTGAAACAATATGTAATTTTACAGCTATAAGGTGATAACCTCTTCTTTTAATCTCTCCCTCACACCTGCATCGGTGTCTCAGTATGTGGGACATACCCAGGTCTGAGGCGCAGGGAGGCAGCCCCTCCCCCCATGCTGTTCCCCTGTCCTTCCTGTCAGCTGGATGTGGAGCTGGGGGAGAAAGGACTCTCCGACTGCCTCCGTAACCTCACCCTGGAGCGGATCGTTGAAAGGTCTGCACGCCCACAAACACCACAACTAAGGCCTAGTCCACACATAGCCAGGTTTTTTTTTAAAACGAATATCCGCCCCTCCAAAAACTTGCATCCACACCACCTCGTTTTAAAAAGAAACTGTCCACACGTACCTGGATAAATACGTTGTTAAGGACATGCCAGACCTGTAGGCGGCAGTACTTCCCCCGTTCTTAACCTCGTCCTTCGTCTGTGTCTTCCGCAAGGATCAGTAATTCTGCTTGCAAAAACAAACAAGCAGAAAGCGCTTGGACAATTGATAAAGCGAGCGCAGCTGTGAGGGCGTCCATGCTGTCGGCTAGTGTAAACACAGGTCGCACACGTGATGTCAGCATTTTTTTTTTTGTCGCGGAAAGTGACGTTGCGGACCTTTAAACTCCGGTTTTGTCCGTCCACACGCAGACACCCAAAACGGAGAAAACGCAGATCTTCACTTTGGCCGGAGTTTTTAAAAAGATCCGTTTTCGTGTGAAAAAACTCCGTTTTCGTGTGGATGGCAGGTCAAAACGTAGAAACATATCTACGTTTTGGCAGATCACCGGCTACGTGTGGACAGGGCCTAAGGTGGTAATATCAGGGAAAGATCTCTGCCAGAATCTCAGATCAGGCAGGAAAAAAGATGACATTTAAACCTATAACCCTTAAAGGGTAGCAGCCCTGTATTATACATACATACACACACACACACACACACACACACACACACACACACACACACACACACACATATATATATATATATATATATATATATATATATATATATATATATATATATATATATATATATATATATATGTATACAACTATCTATATATATATATATATATATATATATATATATATATCTATATTATGGGGTGCCATTTGTAAAGTCAAACAGTCATAATCTAACAGCAATATTTTTGGTTATTTAGCATATCATAAGAGAAAAAATTGGGAGTTCACTTTTTCGAAGTCATATTTTCATCATGTTATTCATACATTTATAAATGTTAAAGTTTCCAAATAAATATTTAGTTAGCAAGATAAATATTTAATTTGCAGTTAAATATTTATTTTGCAAACTAAATATTTAGGTCTGATCTAAATATTTAGTTTGTAAAATACATATTTAATTCACTAACTAAATATTTAATTTACTAATTAAATATTTATTTTGGAACTAAATATTTAATTTGTAAATTAAATATTTATTTTCCTAAATAAATATTTAGATCCCAGCTAAATATTTATTTTGGAGCTAAACATTTAGTTTGCAAAATCAGTATTTGGGAAATAAATATTTAAGTCTGACCCCAAAATATAAAATATAGCGTGGAGCTAAATAACATCATGGAAAATAAATATTTAGCTGGGATCTAAATATTTTTTTGGAAAATAAATATTTAATTTACAAATTAAATATTTAATTTACAATTTAAATATTTAGTTCCAAAATAAATATTTAATTATTAAATTAAATATTTAGTTAGTGAATTAAATATTTATTTTACAAACTAAGTATTTAGATCAGACCTAAATATTTAGTTTGCAACATAAATATTTAACTATAAATTAAATATTTAGCTTGCTAACTAAATATTTATTTGGAAACTCTAACATTTATAAATGTATGAATAACATGGTGAAAATATGACTTTGAAAAAAGTGAACTCTCAATTTTTTCTCTTATGATATGCTAAATAACCAAAAATATTGCTGTTAGATTATGACTGTTTGACTTTACAAATGGCACCCCATACTATATCTATATCTATATCTATATATATATATATATATATATATATATATATATATATATATGGGAGGTGACCACCACCACCATTTTGATTTTGTCACACGTCTCCTCATGCCCAGTGTGTGTATATATATAATACACACCTCTAATCGTGGAAATGTGGCATTCTTACATCAGAGAGATAATCAACCAAACCCTCATTTTCTTACTTTTTGTGCTTATTGGGTTTATCACATTGGTCTCTTATAAGCTGAAACTGACTTGATACAAGTCAGATCAGCTGATTGAGAAGGCGCGCCAGTCTGAACCAGAGGGTTATAGAGATAACTGCTGTGGGATGCTGCATGCTTTACTGGTAAATCCAGGTCAGGCAGTTAAAATAGCAGGATGCCTAACTGAAAGGAGAGTAGGACACGTCCACATCAGGATGGTCTATTTTTTTAATTTTGGCAGTTTTTCTTGGTGGGTTTGTCTACGATCCCTCCTCATCTCCCCGTGTATGTCTCTCCCTCAGGTACAGGCAGACATTAAGTCTGGGCAGCATGGCGATACTGTGTGGTTTCTGTAAACCTCCGCAGTCTCTGGAGGCTACTAAAGGCTGTGCCGACTGCAAAGCAAACTTCTGCAATGAGTGTTTCAAGCTCTACCACCCCTGGGGAACTCCTCGTGCTCAGCACGAACACATTCTGCCCACCAACAACTTCAGACCAAAGGTTAGTCTGGTGTTTTTAGCCCACGGTTCACAGCAGCAGCTGTTACATTGCGCTTTAATTCACTTCTTCTTTAGGTCCTTACATGCACAGACCACGAGCAGGAGAGACTGCAGTGGTATTGTCGTAGCTGCCAGCTGTTGCTGTGTCCGCTTTGTAAGCTCCGTCGTGTCCACCACGGACACAAGGTTCTGCCCGTAGCACAGGCCTACCAGGCCCTGAAGGTCAGCGTCTGCAGCGTGTGCACGCTGAATCCACGGAGGAGCAGCCTCATCAGGCTAACTTTACTTTGGGTTTTCAGGACAAGATTGGCAAAGAAGTCAGCTTCATCCTGACCAACCAGGAGACGATTCAGAGTCAGATTACTCAGCTGGAAGCTGCAATCAAACAGATGGAGGTGCAGAATTTTACCCACTTGTTTGTTTAAGTTTGTCTTCTGATTTAGTCATAAACGTGACGTGACAGCCGGGAGACTAGCACGGGACAAAGTTAGGTACAAAAGGCTGGTGACAGATTTTATACGCTGCCACCGCATCGCTTCTGCGTCTGATGATTGGGTTTGAGGAATGGCCGTGACTAGGGATGGGTACCTTTGACATTTGAATCGATCCGGTACTAATTCCCGGTACCTAGGAATCGATGCCGGTACTTAACGGTACCAATTTTAGATACTTTTGAGTGTTTAATATTTTAATTCCCTTTTATAATTAAATATATATTTTTCTCAATATATAACCATATTTGATAAATATCACGATAAATAACATACAACTGTTTGTATTTTAACATCGTCCTTGTAGTTTTATAAGCTGATAATTAAACTGAAGCAAACATCTTTACTGTGAACTAAATTTACTGTGTATCTTCATTCCTTTTGCCGTCCTTTTTCATTTGATTTTTCCTACTGGGAAGTTAGAATTTCCGAGGAGAAAGCGAACGCACCATTAGCTGATAACAACGGTGGCAATGGAAGCTAACATATCAAGCTAACGTTATCTTAAACAGTTTATTTAGCTGCTGGAGCAGATTAAAACGATGATGCCTCACACTTAGATCGTTGTCGCTGGTTTCATCTTCACCCAATCACCCGTCGCATTTAGTAAAGTGAAGCCAAACTTTAGAGCGCGTTCATGTTCTTCTAGTCGGGAAGTCGGAGTTCCGAGGAGAAAGCGAACGCACCATTAGCGAAACGGAAGCTAACATATCAAGCTAACGTTATCTTAAACATTTTATTTACCTACCGGAGCAGATTAAGATGAGGATGTCTCACTTAGATCGTTGTGGCTGGTTTCATCATCACCCAGTTACCCATCACATTTAGTGAAGTGGACCCAAGCGTTAGCGTGCGTTCTTTCTACCATGCTGCTCTGTTTACAACTCGCTCGCAGCGACCGACATAACGCTCTTGCGCATGCGCAGCTGTCTTGGCAAGTTCTCGTTATGAAGGACGGGTACCGAAACGAGGCACCGTTCCAAATGACGTGAATCGGTGCTCAGTCGGTACTACGGAATTTGGTCGGTACCTTGAAAAGTACCGAATTCGGTACCCATCGCTAGCTGTGTATATATGCACTGGGCAATTCCTGTCCAAAGGCTCGTATTATAAGTTTTTAATCTGAAATGGGAGATGGCCACCACCACCATTTTGATTGTGTCACACGTCTCCTCATGCCCAGACAATTCCATAAAAGGGAAAAGAGGTGGAGCTGAGGGTGGGGCTGTAAGGCTGGGATCAAATGACGACACCCGTCAAACTGAAGCGATGTAGCTACAAGCTAACCAAAAGCTAATGCGGAGGTGGGAGCTAAGCTAACAGAGGTAGCTACCTAGCTACAACCGGAGTTAACTGTGCACAACACCGGAGCTTCTGAGTCAGAGATGCGCCGAGCTGACCGCTGAGGAGAACCGGGTGGAACACAGAGGTCTCCCGAGAGCTCCACAAGCCGGCAGCCGCGCAGCAGACAAGCGCCGCTGCGATCTGAGATGCGCCGAGCTACCGCTGAGGGGAGGGAGACCATACAGATAGTGGGAACCCAGCTCCACCAACATGTTATATTTCAACCCATTTTCTAAAATGCAGCGTTATGTTAAATGCACTGGGTTTTACCCTATTACATTTAAATTTCATGGTTAAACAGTACATGTTGTAGCGTTGTTAATCTACATAACTAGAATTTAACGCTGTTGCTATTCAGCTTTGCTAAATCCTGAGAAAGATCAACTAATGGTCTAAGGTGAGAGACTACAAATGGCGGAGCAGTTTCCAAGCCAGACCGAGGCTCTACTGAGGCCTTTCCACGGAGCTAGTTCTGTGGTCACGTGGGTCTGATGCTCATTAATTATACAGAATTTTAGGCTTTTAATACACTTAAACAGAAGAGTGAGAAAAAAATCCACCCCCCCTCAGAGTTGTCATGAGTGTAAACTAGATCATTTAAACCAAAAACATGTTTTGGTACCAGGCTGTAAACATGTTTATTTCTGCTGTGAAATCGGTATTTTTAACATGGGAGTCAATGAGGATTTGCTCGCTTCTGACACCAGCCCCCTAGTGGATGAAGGTGGAACTGCAATTTTTCTCACTTCCTGTTTTGTTTCTTTTCCAGACCTGAATTACGATGGCTTGGTTTAACACATCATAGTTTAGTCACATGCCCTTAAATCTGCACATCCAAGCCCACTTCAAATTCGACAATATATAAACGTTGGACAATCTAATGCTAACAGTAGAACAATGCTAGCCTGAGCTACTGCTAACGCTAGCCTGAGCTACTGCTAATGCAGTTATGAGATATTAGCTCTTTGCTTTGTTTCTACAGAC